TCTCCATGCTCGCACTTATTTCATCCCAATCCTTTTGTCAGAAATCTCGTTTATCCTACAATCTCCGGTAATCCCCCGAGACAGTTAAAACGGAAATGGTGTCATGACCTGATGACATCTAATATTATTGAATCGGTTATTTGAAAATATAAAAATAAATAAATTAAATAGTCACGTGAAAATGTTACTAATGAGTGGCTGCTTTCTTAAAAAAATTCACGTATTATGTACCTACTATTATAAGGGGTAGTAATAAATTTTCTAATAGTTTGTGTACTCTTATACTTGTATCATATTTACTTTTTTGCTCAAGTGGTATAGATTATAGATTTTGTTTAAAAGTTAAAAATATCAATTTTTTATAATTTAATTTTAATCTTTTTTTTCTTTTCTTTTTTTTTTTATCACAATATGAGTACATTTTAAAAATACCTATTTAATTAAATAATGTTTTGTTGAAACACTAAACCATAAAACCATTGTACTTAACCTTAATACGAGTACATTGTCATTGTAGAATTATTTATTAGAAATAATTATATTGAAATGCTAAGTAGGGTACAATCCTTATGTTAGGAACTGGTCTAGTTCCATTTACTTTGGAGTATAATAATGTTACGTTGTGAATTTGTGATATTAAATTTGAAAGCAATGATAAATCATAACATTCGTTAAAAGAAATAAAGCTCTTCAAAGCGTACCATCTAATAAAGATTAAATTCTTCTATGTAATCTGTAGTATGTAAAGGCACGCCTTATAGGATTTTTTTGTTTACTCTTTTTAACCAAAAAAATGATTATAGCACAAATTATTGTGAAACAAATACATGTTTCAATTTACTCAGATATTAAAATATGAAATTCAAAATTAATTTTTTATAGTAGATACAATAAAACAATGAAACTCATTAAACTTACTACTAGTTACAAGGTTTTATATTTAAAATATAAATACTTGTTTCAATTTATTTGATAAGTGTAATAATTAAGTACAACGTCCATGTGTTATACATATTTTTTATATAAATTTAATAAAATTAACACTAAAGATAAATTATTCATTATTTAACTAATTAACAACTTCTTTTTTTGAGTGTTCAATCATGCTTGTTGACTAAATGGAAAAATCTACATCCCTCTGGCCTTCAGTTAGCCCTAGGTCTGACTTTTATCTAAAATTAAAAATAGCGGCTAATGTTTCCTTGGTTTAATGGCCTTATTTGATATTACCCAACTTGACATTATTTCAAACTGTAATAGTTTAAAAATGTTTTTTTTACAAAATTTACATATAAAGATAAAAATAAAAACAATTTTTTTATAAAGTAATATCCACGTCAATTGACAATGCACAGATATTATAATAACAATTAATTGATTAAATAAGAAATTTCTTTAAATTCGAAATGTATACCATAGTATAAAAATCACATGCATTCACGTTACGTACAATTATAGATTTAATAACTTTAAATTGACTTTGAAATCTTAAAACATCCAAATCAATTACGACACTGTAAGGATGTTCTTTTATATTAATGCATAAATTGAAAAGACCTAGATATCTATAAAGTAAATAATAACATTAAATATTTTCATATAAGTTAATGCACGCTATAAATTATCATCATGGGAAACATTAAATATTAATTTTTTACGTAAGCCCATTATGGGTAACGGCCGTACCACAAATTGCTGGCATATTTCATGTAAATGACAATATGTACACCATGTAAAGTTTTCGTATTCATAAAAGAGGTCCCTAGAGTATAACCAAAATACGTTACATTATCAGATCGTAAGGTCTGTGTGTAAAATCAAGTACAATCTTTACCAACATCAATTTGATGACATAAAATTGTACGGTATTATTTATCTAATCAATGACACTTAATCCGTAAACTTATAAACGGACGTTCATTTGCGATCAGGCTGTGTTTAAATATAATATCATCTTCTAGTTAGTACCATCGAACGATATATGTTTTTAACCAAATTGCAGCAGTATAGAAATTGATGATCATTGTTTAGTATGATTTCAATTGATAATACATACAACTTATATTTAATAAGCATTTTGTGGAAACAAAAAATTTAACTAAATGCTATTTATTTTATTTTGTAGTCCTTGTTTTCATATGTTTGATATCAAAAATATTCTAAAAAACGCGAACGATAAACGTGTTGAATATAATATAATACTTATCGTGAAACTGAAACTAAAGAAAAAAAAAACTAAAAATCCATACGTCAAATCATAGTGAAATAAATTTGGGTTTGGCTCGATTGGGATATATAACCGTTACGTGGATTGGTATATTATTATAATACGCTTGTAAACTAATATTTAAAAAAAGCTTATGTGTTTTTACGTCAAAAACAGAATCTTTCGTAAGTTATTTATGATCCACCGTTTCGCGGTCATAAATATTAAAGTTTTAAAACTCTAATAAATGCGACCATTTACGAGTATGAAACTTTAGTGGAGCCAAATAAAAACAATAATAATAATAAATAAAACAAAAAAGAATTCCCTCGCATAAAGGTGCGTAACCATAAGGTAGGTTAAATTATATAAATCATTAAATAATACAGTACCACTACGCTGCCAAATTTTGAAATAGACCTTGCGGAGAAATTTGAGTGATAATCATAGCCGGTGACATGACGAGCCAACCGTCCAGAAACTAATAACTTGATAATTAAACCACCATAGTTATTATTCAGTCGATGGACTTTGATTTATCGTTGTATTTTTACCGTATATTTTTCACGCAATAAGTAAATATTGATAATTTTTTCGATTAATACGCAATCTTGTAGAAAAAAAAAATTTGATACCTAGTTTTTAATAATAATTACTAAAATATAAATAACTGTTGTATTCATTATCTTTAATTAGCTGGATAAAGTGAAAAATCCATTATGGTTGGTATAGAAATGAGACTTTTTTTCGTTTCCTAAAATAAAGTGGTAATTTTCATACTCATTTCCTTTACCCGCACATCGACTATACTTAATATCTATACATTAGCGAAGCTCTAAAACTAAACTTACTTAGACTTGCGTGTCTCAACGATCCCACCCTAGAATAAATGGAAAAAAATCATATCCTTCTCAATACACGATTCCACATTTTTTCAAAAAAAAAAAAAAAAATCAGATTATTTAAATAGTGTAAAAAAAATAGATATTTATGTAATGATGTTCACATTATTACGCTACAAAGCTTTATAATTAAATATCATATTAATATTATTCGTCATTCATCTTAATATTTAGTAAATAATAATGATATCCATAAACAATATTATAACAATCAAAATTATATCATTAACACTTATATTCATAATTATACTATATTATATTACAATATCTAACAAATTACCTATTACATCCAATAAACATGTGTATTTACAAACTACTATAATATATTAAAATAATTACTGAACAATTACTAATTAGTAATAATATAATTTTTATCTGTTTAGTACTTTATATCATAAAAAACATGTTTTTATAATACAAATGTATTTATATAAAACAAAGAATAACAAATTAAAATGAAACAACAAATAAAAGATCAAGTCTATAAGTAGAACCCCCCATTCTGACATTAAAGTCAGTCATGTCTCCATCAAGGATTCTGTTTCCACCGAGTAGTCTACATCCGGTCACCAGCCTTTCGTCATAGAAGCTCACCACTGTTATTCTCAAAAGCAAGAGAGTATTAATTTAACAGTCTAAATTGATTTTTCACTCGTTGTAAAGTGTTAAGATAATGTCATAAGCCTTATTCGAACTATTGTTTTTATTTTATTCATTTAATGTATGTTAAATTTACATCTTAATATTATTGACATCCAGTTATCAACGCCCATCAGGTAAGAAAATATATCTATATGCTAAAGTACATTAAGGATAGAAAGACTATTATTATCACAAGTAAAAATAACACACGTAGACTCCGGTGTTACAAGGAAGGTAAAAATAATCTATATTTATAAATCTGTATTCACGATCTCAAATTAAATCGTAAAATAATATATAGGCTTTAACAAATGATAAACAAAGAAGCAAAAGAACGTGCACACTCTTGGCTCCATCGTTCATGTTTGAAAGGACCTAACTATAAACATCTAAAAAGTTAATATATTATTATAAGGTAAAGTTTTATCAATAGCTTTGGCTAAGCTTATTTTTGATTCATTACATTTATATTTCGTTTAAGTTTTCTAACGATTGCTACTTAGTACGTTATTTATTTCGATCTACGTTCGAATTAGGTTTGTTTCAGTGTTGCCTGGAATAACAAATAAAAATAACTTCTCTTAAACTGACGACAATATTAATTGCTAAACAATATTGTAGACTCGATCCACCGTATTTCATTAGCAGTAACAAACTATGCCGTAGGATATATTCTGAAAGTTTTATCAGGTAACCTAACCTTTGGTGATCCACAACAGAAGACAATGAGCGGACTGTACATACAAATAATAATTAGAGGACATTTCTGCTTATAGTTGTAGAAAAGAATAAATTGAATAATATTGATGTTGAAGACATTATTCAAATTTTTACCTAAAAATAACAAAGAATTAAATGTATAGAAATAATATGTACAAAGTATAAATAGATTTTTTTTTTAAATATTTATTATTTTCTGTCTTTTTTGAAGTGCAAAATTTAATATGAGTTATTTTGTTTAGTAATTACCAACACGACTGCATAAGTTTAACATGTTTTGTATAAGACTTCAAAATAAGAATGCATTTAAACCATAAAAAAAAAAAAAATCATTGAAAACATTCAGGACGAAACGAATTCGAGGACCAGTAAAACAGTTTTTTCGAGCCGAATTTTTTTCATAGTCTACCTGTCATTTCTCGCAAGACCCCCATGTGAAAATTCTAATATACATATATACTTGCTTATTTGTGAAAATTAACGATTGCTTGCTTACATCACTAATATAGGTTTCGTGTACTTGTTCACAGTGCGTAGGGAGCTGAGCCGGAACAAGCGGACCATGTGGATACTGTCGTCGATTGCTGTGGTGTTCGCGCTCAGCTGGCTGCCCCTGACAGTTTTCACGTTACTTGTCGAGTTCAAGCCGCACCTAATCGACTCATCAGATTCCCTGTACAAGACTTTCGCGATCGTCCACATGATGGCCATGTCGACCACGTGCACCAACCCGCTGCTGTACGGCTGGCTCAACACTAACTTCCGGCGGGACATATCCGGCATATGCCGACAGATGTGGTACTGTTGCGGCGACCAGAAACCGCCGCCCAGACGGAGACGGTACCCGTCCGTAGCCACCGATTACCGCGGCCCGAATGATCGGCGGTTGGGCCTAGGGTCCGAGGCGGCCGGCGGATGTGGCGGTGGAGGTGGCGGTGGAGGCGGTGGTGGCGGTGGTCGACGGCACCATATGCACCACGACCCCGAGACCACCGGCATGTCGATGGTGGTCAAGAGCGATCGACGATTCAGCACCAGCTACCTGACCACGCTGACCACGGTCACGTCCCGGTCACAACCGGGTTCCAGCATGGGCCGTGTGGAGAACGTCTAGAGACAGTATGATTATATTATACAATCGTCGACGATCTACTAATACACATTAAAATAATAACAATAATATTATGTTACCTTGCGGCTAGTCCCTCGTTTCGGCGAGGCGTATAAGTTACGAGTTCGTATGTTGTTGTTATTATTTAGGGGGAAAAAAATATTACGATGACATTATTTTTTAAGTAACAACGATATCATATATTGGACTAACCGCAGATACTATGCCGGGTTCGCGGCTATGACGTCAACGCGTTATATTCCTTATGTGTCGTATTCCGATTGGCCGTTGTAATCATGGTATATCGTTCATCGATCATGATTTACCGCGATTTGGACCGAGCTCAATTTTAAGACACGACACGACAGACGACGTAGCTGTTAACCCCTCTTTACGCGTCGAGAGCCCTAATCGAGGTATTATGCTGTAAGACAGGTCACTGGATATCTGCCGGTAACTCGGGCGCAAATTTGCGTAAGTGCAAACGAAATGGTGCTAACGGGTGTATTATTTTTCTACGATAATAATAACATTTAATTATTAATCTTAAAATTTATCAAGAAACAAAACAATTGTGTATAGTTCAGGGCCCAAGATATATTTTGTACATACATTGTATAATATGCAGTTATAACGGTGTTTAGGATCGACACAAATACGTTGTATAATATATACAGGACGATTCACCAAGCATGCTCCACCACTTTTTTTTTACTTTAATCATGCATTTATTTAAAACTATGATTTTCGGAATTTATAATATTACACTAAAAACCATATTTTTATTACTTAGATATTTTAAGTTAAATAATTAATTAAAGAAAGAGAGAGAGAGAGTTGTTTTACTATAAATTATTTAGATAATAATATTGATGTATATAAATTTAAATTTAAACATGTAGTTTCCTAGTTACTGATTATTATGCACTAAGGATAATAATAATAGGTTTAAAGTTATGAAGATTTTAATGATAATATTATAAACATTTTATTAATTAATGCTAATAAACAAATATTTCATAAGGTCAAAAAATTGTCCGAGTATGTAGAGTATAGATGAAATTTTTTTTAATATATGTAATAAATCAAAAACTATTCATTCAAATTTCGGTTTAGATAAATTATTATTTTCAAAAAAAAATTTACTGTAAAAAAAAAGCTTTCAATTGAAAAACAAAAATTTGTACTTCTACAGAACACTTCTGCTATGGCATAAAAAATTTAAGTATTAAAAATATGGCTTTAAATTAAATTTTAAAATTAAGAAGTTGAGTAAATTTATAAAAAATGCAGTAAGCATGCTTGGTGGATCATTCTATGTACAACCCAAGATAAAACGCAAAGTAATATTCAACAGTTAGGAAAACTCTCTCAAAGTAATAGTTTTTATTTTGTTTTTCACAGTTTTAATTATTCAACGTCTGTGCAATTTACTTTACATTCCTTTACACACTTATTGTATATACTATATTAAACTGTAGTTGTTAATTACGTGTTAAAAAAATCGACATATTTTTAATAACATTGTATCGTAAAAATAATACTATTATAAAATGAATATTTTTAAAACCACTTTTACGGTTCAAAAATAAGTAATTACTTACAATTTAGATTAAAAATACCATAAGAACTTGAGTGAGTATACTATACATTGATAAGTACCTATTTGTCATGTCTAAATTATTAAATTCGAGAGGTTTCTTTTACATATTATTATAGCCAGTCTAGCTATTTATATCATTTTCTAAAGTTTAAAATACTTAAGGATAATATTATTAGCATTCAGACAAAATAACATGATATATTTTATAGCATTAATAATCATGAATTATAATTAATTTCAAGTAAAACGAAATTGTTTTAATTTGTGATTCTAAAGAAATTGTTTGATATTATTATTTTTTTATTTTAAATTTATTTTGTCATCAAAAAAGTATCATTTTTTACCGGCCAATTATTTTTTTCCAAGAAAATATCATTGAAATGCAGTGTGATAATTTATAAAGACACATCATTATTATAGAATACAAATTGGCTTTTAAAATTCATCGGTTTTAAATTGTAATTATGTATAATTATAAACAATATCTACAGTAACAAATTTAACAATTTATAAATAATTATTTTATTGGAGAATTTAAATTTTAAAATTATATTCCTAAAAAAACATAAAATTAGGTATTTTATTAAAAAGTATCAAATATAATTCATTAATAAAACATGTGCTTGGTAAATATTTTATTACTAAAATAAATTAAAAACCGAGTTTAAAAAGCTAATTCATGATAAATAAATGTTAAATAAAATTATCAATATTGATTTGAGGCGATACTATAGTAAACTAGACATTATAAAGAATATAATTTTAAATGTATTTAGCATATTGTAGACATTTAGTGTATTGTTAGTTTTGTGTAAATCAGTATAATACTGTAAAATAAACCTCTAAAGTAAATTACATTATTCCATTAAATGTTAATAAAAAATCATGGGTGTACTAAATTTTTTAAATCGATTTTTAACATAATTCATGCATAATATATTAGTGTAATTTTTAATTTGCTTAATTTTTACTAAATATATCATTACATCGTTGTAAATATTACATTCATTAACTAATTAATGAATTAATCAAAATAATTAAGCTAAATGAGTATCCAACATGAATACATTTAAATCATTGCACCTATCTTCTAAAGTCTTACTGGCGAAGTCCTACATAATTTTCGACTGATAATAATAGCGAGTTTGTGTGCTACATATAGACGGTTTTGTTTTAAAAACCCTTCAGAACGCATGTATAAACATACTATTTTATAATATTAATATAATTCATTGGTTTTGGTTCTTCTTCTAGACGACACGTTACGTAATAGAATAATAATTATCAAGATAAAATTATAACCTATGGAACTGCAATGTAAATGTATGTACTTTAAGACACGTGTGTTCATAAATAATTTTTTTAATGTTTTATTACATAATTGTTTATACGAACGGTATAATTAACAAGATTTAATAATATATTGAACAGCTCTTTTTGGACTAGAGCAATGATATATATTGGATTTAAGGGGCAAATGGACAATCTTGGGACCACACTACAATCATGTTTATATTTTAACGTATTTTGATTTGTATAAAATTAATTTACTCGACGTATCTTCGATATTGTTAGTATCCCGATCCCCGTAAACGTTCGCGTGCAGTAACGTAGTGTAAAAAATAATTATTAGTTATTGACGAACTGTTTGCCATTATTACTGTTTACCATTATATAATGAATATGTCTGCTAGACGAGACCGATCATGCATCGATTACAATATATATTCAAGTTATTCGTTCAACCGACAAAATCTAGTTGCGTTGGTGTGCATTTCCTCGCATAACAATTACCCAATATGAGCACGTTATAGACGTAATAGACGCGACATAGTGTAATATATATATAGTGACCTTTAATATCACAACTATACAGGCATGTGAGAAAATGGGTAAATTCAACTTGAATAGAGTGTAATAAAATATTATAATGTAGTAATGTGTATTTATGAATTAACGTTTACAATAGATATATTGTACTTAAAGCGAAATAAGTGACAGTAGACGGACATGACGTGTAAACCAGTTTCATCGTTTTAACGATCTAATTCATTGATAATTTTAAAAAGAGTAACTTAATTTTTTTCTGCCAAAATTGTGCAACCGATGTCTTAATAACCGATAAAATGCTAAAACTGAATAGTAACCTCGAAATAGTACTTTTGAATAGAATCTTTAACCAATACACTGTTATACACTATCCATACAATTAATGTTAATTGAAGTATTTTTAGTATATAAAGGAGTAAAAAAAACTATTAAATACTTTTTACTACAATTTTGATAAAACTGAGATTTGTCTCCTTTAATGACCACACTACAAGTAAGTACAATAATGATAATTGATGACGATTTCTGACGGGGTTTTTTTTATGGTTTTTATAATTTGAATTTACGTGAAAATTAATTTGAAACTCTAATTAAAAAAAAAAAAAAAAAAGAGTGTTATGAGTGTTTTTGACTTCAGAATTTTGACAAATTGTACACGACAGACATACGAACATTATTTATAGTAGTATTCGCTGTTCTACTTGCGATTACAAATTAACCTTATCTGAAATTCAAATATTTAGTCAAAAATTGTTAAGTAATACATATTATTCATGAGTGAAATTAAATATTTAAATTAATTAATTACCTCTAATAGAATATAAACATGAAACAAAAGAATCGTCGGATCATAATTGTTCACAAAATAACACCAACGGGGTATATTGTGTTAATAAACTTATCATCAAAATTAATCTCGTGGCATATTACCATTTTATTACCAAATTTTGTGTAGTCATTATTAAAAATTAATTTTAAAAAAGACACACCTTTTCAATGATAACACGTGCACTTGACGTCAATTTACCATGTTTATAATACTATAAATTCACATACAACTCATAACTACATCACAAAACAAAGTTGAGTTATTCCCTATGTATAGCATTTTGGGTTCATCAATTCATCAATTTATTAATCTCCTCACAATTGAATAATATTTTGAATTTATAAATTACATTATTTTTTTTTTTTTTTAAATTCATAAAAATTAACATCTGGTTCATTATTTTGGCGGAAATTAAAAATGTATTGCAACACCGTTTTATGTCCGTATAATCTTCTTATTCCTTTATTTTATTTTGATAAAATCAATAATATTTGTAAAAGAAAATGAATTCTTAGTATAGTTCTCATCAATTTCACGAATATCTGTAGTCAAAATAAAATTGTTGAAAAATGGTATCTATATTTTCTGATGAAAAACATACAACACTTACTTACTTATTAAATCAAATGAGCTCTATTTTACCTACATTTTTAACTATAGAATGTTTATGGTAACTTATTGTAAGAAAAAACCGTGTTAATTAAATATTTGTACATAAACATCTATTAGAAAATAAAACTACGTCAAAATATTTATTTTGATTGTAAAAAATATTAAAATAAAAACAGTAACGTGTGTTTATTTTATATTATATTAGTATTAATTAATATTTAAAAATAGGTGATACTTTTTTTCACATATATTTTAGATCACTCTACCTTCGTTGTAAATTGTTATGTTCAATTTCCGCGTTACGATAACATTTAGAGAATCGGTGATCTATATAAAATTAAATATAAAAATGTATTTCTGTGTCTAATATATTGCAATAATTAAAAATTGTAAAAATACATATTTAGTAAATATTATTGATTTAAAGTATAGGTACATTATTAATTTTTCAACTGTATGGTTTTTTTGTTTGTTTAAGAATAACACCCATTATAATAATATGACTGCATAATATAGAAAATAATTATTTTTAGAAATAAAATTAGAATAATGATGACGGCAATCGATGAACAAAATTATTTGTACTTTTTGTAGTTTTTGATTTATTATTGTATGAGTATATTATACTTTACTATCTGTAATACTAAATAAAAATAAACTTTAGTTATATATTATTGCTATTATTATAATTAATTTACTGTATTAATATGTTTATGAACAATATAATAACCTATTTTGTATTAAAGTACTTTATTATCAATATTTTAAAGAAAAGATGGTTTCTAAATAAAATATTATACATAATACAGTTGTAATAAACGACCAAAGTATAATAATTGTGGTTTTATTTATCCT